GTACGATAATTTTCCTGAAAATACGATAATTTTGAGCTGCTGATACGATAATTCAACATTTCCCACCTGGCAACACTGCCGCCTGCTAATGTTTTGAGAATCTGGAGCCGATGCGGTCCACCAGCTGGTCTCTGACCGTCTCAGATGCAGCTCCTGGACTCTGGTGAAGGTTTTGTTAGTCAGTTTCCTCTCGGCTCATCCCTCRTTCTTTTCTTCCAGTGATTTTTCTCAGCAAGAAGCCCAAGGAGAAAGAGCTGGACTCTAAGAGCCAAGTGATCGACGGGATCAGCAGGTTGATCTGCACAGCCAAGCACCAGCACACCATGCTGAGAGGTGAGCACACACACACACACACACACACACACCCACACACCCACACACAGAGTGGTATAAATCAAAGCTGTGCTGCCACCTACTGTTCATTTTCCAAAACGACAAATGCAAAACAGACGAGAACTTGTGCCGCCATGTTGCTAGGTGCTACTGGGACGTTAGTAGGATACTGCCAGAGATGCAGCAGACCATTTTTTTTTCAATAAAAATAATTAAAATAAACTCAACCAAGGAGCCCTTTGTTTATCATGAAATGTTATTATCTGCTCTTCAATGAGTATTTTTATATGTGAGCATTGAGTTCTGGCCATCAATCGCAGATGTTGTAAAGTATTTTTATTTTATTTATTTTATGGCTGTCTTCTAAGTTAGAAAAACAGATTAGACGGACTATTTAGAAATGTGAAAAACTTAAGAATCAAAGCAAAAGTTATGATTACAACACTGATACCTCATTTTTGGTCTAGTTTGTTGTCYTTACTGTAAATCACAGCTTAAACCAGCAAACTGAAAATAATTATTTAAATAACAATCAGCTTAAAGATTCTAAATAATGAAWTAGTGTAAAGACTAAACAAAAATATTTGTGTCTAAGTACTGAGATGGGTTTAAATATTTCCAGATTAGAAAGAAAAGTATTGTTTAAGTAAAAGCACGAGGCTAAGAGTAGCACTTAGCAACATGGCCGCCACAAACTGGCCTGGCCTCGTCTCTGACCGTTTCTGTTTCCTCCTCAGTTACCATCGACGGCGTGGAGTGGAACGACGTCAAGTTTTTCCAGCTCGCCGCCCAGTGGCCGACGCACGTGAAGCACTTCCCGGTGGGGATCTTCGGGTACACGAAGCCGATGTGACCCCGCCCCACTCGTCTCCCCGCCCTCGGTCCTGCCCCGCCTGAGAGACTCCAGAGAATGGGAAGGAAAGAGTTTTCCTGTGGAAATCTTACAGACTCACTACGTGTTCAAACTTCATGTCGTTCGTTTTGATGTTTTTGATGT